CTACTGCGCTATGTCTACAAGCTGTTTTCAAGAGTCATCACGAATCGTCTCACGCGTAGGTTTGATGACTTTAAGCCTCCCAGGCACAAGCCAATTTTCGCAAAGACCACATCCATATAGAAGACCGAGGAGTATAAGTTGCCCTTTGCTTGGCGTTCGTGGACTTCGATTCGATCGAGACTTGGGCATTACTGTAGTCTCTTCAGTGGTGCCGTATCGACTATCGGTACATCGAGGTGCTTGTACAAAATGCTTCCAAACTCCAGAATTGGAAAGGATTCTGCATAAATATAAATTAATGGCGAGTAGGTACATCACTCACCTTCGGTTTGCCGAAAATATTATGGTCATTCGCTGGAAGACCTCTACACAATGTTCAAAGACCTTAATCGAGTTTCCCAACAAGTAGGTCTTCGGATGAAAATGTTATTAACGTAAAACACAATTTTGACTAAGATTTTGATATGCCTTATGCCACAGCCATAATTGCGTCAAAAAACCAACATCTGCAAGAACTCAAACTAGTTCTACCAGCAGAATGCCATGACTTTTATGATTCTTTGCCTCATTTGTAAAATACAAATTAATGTAAGGTATTTAACAACCTCATTTCATGTTATTGATTAATAAGCTACTTGATTTATTACTAGTTATTTTTGTCCAATAGCACCTATCTAGTAGATAAATATATTTTTTTTAACTCTTTTGAACCAATACCATCTAACTCAGGTTATCTTGGTATATGGCAATATTACGTCAATCTAAGTTTACATAACATTTTCCAGTATTTATTTACCTTTTTTAGCGATTTTAACATTTCTAGTAACTTATAAGCTGAAGCGATGAAACGTTTTTTTTATCTCCTGTAAAGTTGACTTTTTTGAGATACATAGATGGTATTGATTCTTAACCGTCGATGACGTGAAACCAACATTAGACGCGATATTAAATTATGACCCTAAAAACATCCATATCTTTCCCAATTGTCTTTTCTAATACGAATCAGACTCGTGTCATAAATATATTTTTACTTCCCAGGATTGGAAGGTCCATATGTTCACTCCGTTCACTCCGACGGTGGAAGCACCAGGTGTAAGGGAGCCTTTCCTGAGCCAGTATCCGTACCACGCCGCCCAAGCGGGCGCCATGCACCGAGTGCCTCTCATCACCTCCATCACCACTGAAGAGGGACTGTACCCTGCTGCTGGTAAGTTCTTCATGAAGGTCCATCTGTTAACGCCGATTATTGAGGCACTAGATCTAAGCCAGTACCCGTACCACGCCACCCAAGCGGGCGCCATGCACCAAGTGCCTCTTATCGCCTCCATCACCACTGAAGAGGGACTGTACCCTGCTGCTGGTAAGTTCTTCATGAGGGTCCGTCTGTTCACGCCGTTAACGCCGATTGTTGAGGCACCAGGTCTAAGCCAGTACCCGTACCACGCCGCCCAGGCGGGCGCCATGCACCGAGTGCCTCTCATCACCTCCATCACCACTGAAGAGGGACTGTACTCTGCTGCTGGTAAGTTCTTCATGAAGGTCCTTCTATTTACGCCGTTCATACCGATTGTTGAGGCACCAGGTCTAAGCCAGTACCCGTACCACGTCGCCCAGGCGGGCGCCATGCACCGAGTACCTCTTATCACCTCCATCACCACTGAAGAGGGACTGTACCCTGCTGCTGGTAAGATTTTCATCAGTGGCGTAACTATAGGTACCATCCACAACCATCCATTTGCATGGGGCCCTTGGCGTATCTAGGGCTATTTTTCAGGGGGCGTATCATCGTGAGGAAGAGGGGGGGTTAGGGTCTTGGGCCGGGGCGTGGCATTTTGCCAGTCCTGCAACCCATAGTTACGCCACTAATCTTCATGTTTCTCTTTGTTCTTTCGTTGGAATCAAAAGCCCTCTTTCGGGGATTTCCATTAAGACCGGTCCATCAAGTGGGACCGCCCACTTTGACTTCCGGTGTTTGATCGCCACTTAAGATTTTTTACGTCCCAACGGTCATCAGTTCTATGAGCTACTTATGTATCAATTAAGATCTCCAAGCGTTCGAGTACCTAGTAACACAAGTCCTCGTCAAAGTCGTCAATTACTTACATTAATTGCAAAATATAGAATGCTTGTAGGTATTTAGTCCAGTCAATGAATGCTTTAACGACGGTGTAGAGAGAAATCCCTGGAACACAATTTCTGACCTCGGGACTTTATTTAGACTAGTTAGGAGGTGAACATAGTAAAAGTCCCCGCCCTGAGCCCTTGAACCGGCGGGGCAAGGGGGGTTTAAAGGTACCACTTTTCGGTTTAAAGCCTAAAGAACCGTTTGAGTCATATTTATGAAATTTGAAGCTGATGTTTATCTTGCAAGTCTCAACACATGAGCCAAATTTGAAGTGTTAATGCACAGTACTTTTTGAGTGATGAGGAGTCAAAAGTGGCTCCAATTGGTTCGTCTAAATATACGCACGATGCAGTTCCCCTCCCTGGAACTAGGCTTTACATGCTCCCGCATGTCTAGCATATTAGCTCAATGTTGATTTAGTCGATTTTCTCCTGATGGAAACATGTAAGACAAAAATAAAATTTCCAATATTACAGACCTTCTAGAGCAGATGCCGCGAAAACTATACAAGATATAGAAAAACTTGAGTATCTCACCTGTAGCAAATTGAATAATCTTTTTTTGGTTCATAGTAGTCATGTCACTAGGACGCATAGATTCCGAGGATTAAGCGAAAAACCGAAAAGTGGTACCTTTAAACCCCCCTCTCCCCGCCGGCTCAAGGGCTAAGGGCGGGGACTTTTGCTATGTTCACCTCCTACTTAACTAGTCTAAATAAAGTCCCGAAGTCAAAAATTGTGTTCCAAGGATTTCCATCTATAATGCTTTATTGACTGGACTAATTAAAGTTAATACAAAACGTGTAAATGTTTTTAAGTAGAAAACAAACTTGTTCTGAGGAAAATCGTCGACCCCAGGTTAAGAAATTCCAGTTTAAAACGTGCTCAAAGCACGTAATAATTTTATCTTAACCAAGTTTTATCACTGCAGAGTTTGCATTTTTGCAAAAAAACTGCCAAGTAAAAGAAAAACTTAAGATCTTCCTTGTTCTAACTTTTAATGGCTTGGGTTGTACAATCGTTGGGAAAGTAAGTTAACGTGACAGTTATCTACCTGATTCAAGAATTCTAAGATGGCGTCATCTCGAGACTTCCGATCGGGATGTAATTTCCTAAATGGATTCGTCTGGATTGGCTTCAGTCTGAATGACTGTAACAAAAAAAACGATGGATGAGACTGAGTTCTTTTAATTCTTTATAGTAGCATCTACTAAGTATTAGTACTTTTTACGGTTGCGTTTTTTTTTTTTCAAATTCATAACTTGATTTACGTTTTGCACCCTGCACCGGATTCAATTTTGTTCTGGCCACACTCCAAATTCTCAAACTCCAACGATATATTGTGTTTGTGGTACAGATCATACATTTTATTGCAAAACAGAACCTGCAGTAAAAATACAGAGGCTTCTTTTCTCAAGTGGAAAAGCATAATGGATTTAAACCGTGGATGTAAATAACAGTTTTTAAACATCATAAATACGGGTGAATACTCCATTGTTCACAGTACCATGTGTGCCAAGTTTCACTCGTTTACAGGTTTTTTCAAAGCTGGCAACGCGCCGGTTCATATTGCACCGGACCGGACACAAACAATACTTTAAAATAACTCACAAAACGACGTTATTAAATTCTGCTGGCTCATATTTGAAAACGATTTAAACTTATTCTATTTTTGTTGGATGTACCTACTATTTAAAATCATAATTTTTCAGTCTACTGCCTTTGAAGACCCGAAACTTGTGACGTCAAAACAGCTCGAAAAAGGATATCAACTATGTACATATGTTGTCCAATTTTATATTTGTTGAAGTAGGTAGGTAGGTAGGTATTCGTATTTCACCAGCAGGGATTCTATAAATAATTATAGAACTTAATTTCTTCAAACAATTTCGCACATTATGAACGCGCTTAAAACACAAAGAGAAAATCTGCGAATTGGTTGCCAAGAGCAAAAATGTTTTAAATATACTCAACATCAAATAAACCGCACCTTCCGCGACGCGAACTTTAACGATTTTCTTCTGACACAATCATGGTGCCCCAACAATATTGGTGTTATTTGAAGGCTCAATAAATATCCTTATAGAAAAACACATTTAATTTCTTAATAAATGATTAACATATACCATAAATGTGACTTGAAAAAATACCTCACTTTGGGCCCACCTATGGGATCAATGAGACCAATTTTTATGGTTATAAAACCAAATAATGATCTCACGTGTCCTCTTTAACAGATGGATAGCGATTAATCCCAACTTAACAGTTTTATAGCCATAAAAGTTGGCTCTAGCGTAACTACCTATTTTTTGAAGAAGTGACTCTGGATCCTTCTAAAGACACATTTTTGGGGTAAAAACCTTTCCTTTAATGAAATGAAGGTTAGAACTAGGCTTTTAAATGGTGCCAATATTGGTGGGAAGTGGGGATGCATACATTTGAAAATGCTTGTCGCGGGAGGTGCGATTTATTTGATGTCGAGTGTAGTTACACTTCACTGCATGTTTGAAAGAAAATGCTTTAGCTCTTTTCGAATAAATTCTGAGCTGCCTCAAGGCAATTCCTATCTTTAAAAGTTTCATAGCAAAGTACAGACAACAGCACATCAAGTTACCTAAATACTTAGCATTCATTTATAATGCGAACAGCTAGGGACTAGAATTCGCTGCCTGCTGCTGTCTTTCCCGAAGACTACATTTTCAAGACGAGAGTGAATAGGCACTTACAGGTACAGGGCAGATATGTACCATCCCAGACATCAGGTGCGATTGTGGTCAAATAGCTAACTGCCTTGTTATGCATAAAAAAAGCATCTTATTTGATTGCAATTGGGGCGATATTGCAACAAAAATGTAAAGTCTGATGTGCTGTCGTCTGTACAACTTAAACCAATGAAGTTTAAAGGAATTCCATTCTTTCCAATTTCTTTAAAATTCGTAAATTACATTATGTCATCCCTTCATTTCGTGGCGCCTTGAATGTGAGTTGTCGATAAAACTGTTAAGACTTTTGATCCCTCTTCGCTGTAATTTAATAGAGTTCGAAGAAATGAGCTCACCCCAAAAATGTAAATTAATTGTCATAAAAAGTGACGAACATTAATAAAATTCGAAGTAAGCGATAGGTCAGTGAACACTAACTAACCTTTTAAACCTTTTCATATTAGATTCATATCTTAGTAGAAAATGAGCACCCTCAGCTCGATCAGAAGCCAAGGTTAAGTTATTGAGAAGCACTACGCGATTGCCCCTATGATTGAAGGTCATACAGAATCACTCCAATCTAGAACTAAAAACCTAGTTACCGAGTTCAATTTGCTTCGAAATAAATATTTAACATACAAAATCTATTGGTAGAGTCGCGTTTTAAGAGCTCATTATGATTTGAATTGACTGATGGCATTATCAATGACTATTTTGAACAATGCATTTTTCAAGGTTTGCATACATTAGAAATAATTATCGTCTCTACCTATTCTTACATTATTATGAAGTTTAAAACTACTAACGCTGTATAATCATTACTACGGATCTAAACATATCTAAGTATTTTCCTTACCATTTGTGCTAGTACATTGCTATTATGTTAATTAGTTTTCTCTACCATTTCTATTGCTCTAACTACAATATCGTCGAACTAGTAGTGGTTCTCGCTAGGGACTTGTCCCTAATAAACATTAATGAATAGGTACTACCTATGTCTTATTATTCCCCTGTACGTATTTGCGTAGTAGGTATATCTATACCTTAATCATAGTTAGACACCTTACTTGAACGGGTATCGGATCATCGTATATTTTCACGGTAGCGCATTTTCTTACATAACTTTTCAATTCCTATCATTGGAGGTCCGAAAATTTTTCTCATACAATTTGATACCATAATGATCATTCTTCATAAAAAATTTAAAACCTACATATTTAAAAACATAATCATTGATATTCATAATATCACTAATCATACACTTAGTTTTTACGAATATTTGTTTTCATATATTTTTCTATACTAATGATCGAAACTCATAATCATTCGAATAAATAACTATAATCTTCATAAATGTGATGTATCCTAATATTTGTTTTCA